ATTCTACATAGCATTCGCTGAAGTCTAACAGGGTTATCTTGAACAGGTTTCTTCTATACGGCAGCAAGGGGTTTGTGGTCGTTATAGACTGTCACTTTGCTACCATAAGCGTAGGTATGAAAGCTAGTGAGCCCAAATACAATACTAAGCATCTCTTTCTCGATTTGGCTGTAGCGTTTTTCAGTGTCTGTTAATGCTCTCGATGCATACTGTATAGGTTGGCCGCCTTGCACGAGGCAGGGTCCAAAACCACTTGATGATGCGTCCACTTCGACTTCAACTTGTTCAGCCACATTGAAGTATCTTAGCAGTGATGCATTCAGAATGAGGGTCTTAATTTCATCAGAAGCTTTCTGTTCATTTTCTTCCCAGATAAACGCAGCGTTGTTCTTCAGCAGAGCTCGTATCGTTTCTGACTTGGTTGACAAGTCTTCTGAAAATCTTGAGAGGTAGGTAACAACACCAAGTAGTCTTCTGACTTCATCTTTGTTTGTTGGGGCAGGCATTGACTGAATACATTCTTGTTTCTTGGGGTCAGGTTTAACTCCTTTGTCTGTAAGGACCACACCCATGTAGAACAACTCAGTCTTCCTCAGCCGGAACTTCTCCTTATTGAGTTTAATATTCTTCTGATGGCATCGCTCCAACAAGGCAAGCAGTCTCTTGTCATAGCTAGCTGTTGCTTCTTCAATGTTTTCTCCATCGCCCCAGATCAATATATCATCAGCTATGGCTTTTACACCTTCTAATCCTTCTAAATTCTCATCAATTCTTCTTTGAAATTCTTCAGGTACTACACTGATGCCAAAAGGTATTCTTTTCTATTTCATCCGTCCAAAAGGGGTATTAAAGGTTGTCAGCAAGGAGCTTTCTGCATCTAATTGTACGTGCCAAAAAGCAGTCTTGATATCAGCTAGGGAGAATACTTTAGCATTGCTAATGTCTGTAAGCAGATGATCGACAGTTGGGATTGGGTACTCAGATCGTTTGAGTGCCGTGTTCAGTGGTCTGCTGTCTATCCAAAGTCTAATTCCATTCTTAGCAGAAGGTTTGTTTACAATTGTAGGAGCACTTACCCATTCGGTAGGCTCAGTCACTTTCTCAATTATACCTTGCTGTTGGAGGTCTTTTACTTCAGAAATAAAGTTGTTCTTCACAGAGAGAGAGATCTCTCTAGGAGCTGTTTTGTGAGGAGTGACATCATTACTTGTGTGAAGATGTAGCTCGCCCTCAAACTTTCCTACACCTTCATCAAAGACTTGAGGGTAGTTAGTCAGAATGGTCTCCAAGGTGAGTGGTGCTGTCACTTCACTGGCAGTTACAGGGACATTTGGGTTAGCTGGGGCTACTACAGCAATATTCTCTCCTAAGAGCTCAATGAGTTTGAGTGTTTCAGAGTCATTTAGACCGATCAGAGGTGTTAGTTGTCTTTCAACAATTCTAAACTGAATGATCCTTTCTTCACTGGTTGCAGGATTTAGCACAAAGACTTTTCTTGTTCCCAGGGTCTGAATTTTGGTTTCTTCATCATAGAGCGACAGAACAGGCTTGACTACAGTGTTAAGGTCAGTGAGATCATAATCTCCACTGATGTCTTTGTACACATTCACAGGGAGAATGCTACATGTTGAACCAGAGTCTATCTGAAAGCTAACAGGAATTCTTTTCTTCGACAGCAGTAGGTTTGCAAAAGCTTTCTTGTGATCACAGTTTTGATTAAGTACACAGATTTTGTCAAGAACTTCATAATAGTGATCCTCACCATCTTCTTCTACTCTCAGTACAAACGGTTTTGAGGTTGGATCTGAGTGTTTCTCCTGTTTTCCTTTTTGTAAGCGTTTACACTCCTTTGAGTCTTGAAAGTGATTTTTGACCTTACATTTTCTACAGACTGCTCCCCAGGCGGGGCAGAGTTTCTTGTCTGAAAAGCTATGAGCTCCCTTTTTGTTGGCAAAGTAATTACACATGCGGACTTTCTTGGGCTTATCTTTAGAAACTGCTTTTATACTCTCTTTTGCAGGAGTTCGGTTTGCACTGCACTCTTGGACTTCAATCTTTGTACTTTCATAAGCCTTGCCAATTGTAATAGCTTCAACTCTTGTGAGAGTGTTTCCTTTTTCTAGCAATCTTTTCTTTAGTTCTTCATCAGAGACACCATAAACAAACTTATCTCTCACTTGTCTATCTTCGTCTACATAATTACAGTCTTTCACTAACAGCAGCAGATCAGTGACAAAAGCAGTTATTGTCTCTCCAGGTTTTTTCACTCGTTCTTTAAATTTCTTAGAAGCAACAATCTCGTTACATTCTGGACTTACCGCTCGCTCCAACTTAGTCCACATCAGATCATAGTCGTTTACATCCTCACCTTCAAACCAGTCCAGGCTGTCGTATATCTTTTGACCTTCAGGGCCAAGCCAATCTTGAACCAAAATACATTTTCTTTCATTCGAAATATTCACAAGACTTCCTTTGAAGATGTAACCACATTTCTTTTTGAAGGCTTTCAATGCTTCTAGCCGATTCTCCCGGCGGGAATCGAATTTAGGTCGCTCGAAGTTCATGATATTACCAGTAAAGAAATCTTGATTTTGATCTTGAGCTGGGGCCGCAGCTTCGGCTCCTTCTTCCGACATTTTGCAGGGTTTTGGCGCGAAGATCTCAGGCAGTATGTTTGAGCGATCGACGAGATTCCACACTCACAGACAAAGATCACAGAAAGTCAGATCGATAGCAGATCGATAGCAGCAGAATAATCAGCGTTTGTTCACACTCCTGGTGGCAATTGGCAGGCAGGTATTTACTTCGTAAGTGGCCTTTTGGATGAGGATTCACAATTTTTAATTTTTGATACTTGCAAGGAAAAGTTTGCGATAAAAGCCCGCTTTCTACAGTACCACAACGTGATATGTGCCATCTCGAATATAAAACGTAAAAACAAATGTCCACAGATGAAAGATGCTAAAACCGACACCAAAAGCGTGCTGTCCTCTGAAGCTTTCTGTAAACTAGCTTACAAATCATTTCTAACTCAAAGCGCCTCTGTCCCTTGTCAAAGTCATGAAAAATGGCTGGCAGACTGCAACTCTTTTGACTTTAACACGACTGATTGGGGTAAGTCATATACCCTTGCTTTTCTGTGTACCAAGGAATCTAAATTACGTGTGTTTCAACTTAAACTTCTGCATGGAAAATTGGCAACGAAGTATTTCCTTTTTAAAATTGGAATCAAATCTAATGATCAATG